GATAGAGCCTGGTGGAACCACTGAGACTATGGCCCCTAGCTGTCCTTCAGGTCTGGAATTGAACCCACACCTGTGGTTTCCAGCCAAACAGAAGACATGCATATGAGTTGAATATTTACCTGAGGTAGATACACTCCTTGGAGAGAACAATCATTGAGAAAGAAGTGCTGCCCATGCACAGGGAGACAGCTTAGGGGGCAGGAGTCCATGGAGGGAGGGACACTGGGAAGAGGTAACTATGGGGAGGAAGTGTTGCATTGTGGTAAACTGTGGTCAATCATGAGACAAAGTACATGTAAACTGCTGTATGGAAAGTGAATTCGCTCTGTAAATCTTCACTCAAATCACAATAATAAAATAAAACGATAAAAAAAAAAAAAGAATAAAACACTGACCAGTTCTGTGCCATCCTCACAACCACTGGTAGCCTAGGCACATAGTAGGCATTAAATATTTGCTAAATAAATGTCAACTATATGTTTTTTTATTTTTTTCCTAACCCAGTCCCCTCCCCTCCCTGCCCAGTAACCCTCCCCCTGTGCCCCTCATAGTTATGCACTCCTGTTTGTCCTGCATTTCCTCTGTGCAAATGTTGCCCCTCTGGTGTCCCATGGTCTATTGCTCCAAGGGATGTATTTCCATAGAGTAAGTGGGTGCGTCATTCCTGGGTTAAGTGGTCTGCATGTACATCTCGTTAACTACTGGGCTGAGAGTCAGCCCCTGGGAGTGAGTTTTATTCTAGGCCCAGAATGTATCCCAGGGCCATAGTATTGGGGGTCTCACCAAACTCCATCCAACCAGTAATTCTGGTCATTATTGAGTTTTTGGATTTTGTTCCATGTTTTTCCTCCCACTCTATCCAGATCTCCAGATTTGATCCTCTCCTAAGTGGTTGGCATTGGTAGCCGGGCACCACCTACTTCTTCTGGTCTCGAGGGCCATCGTGTCCTAGGGCTGATTATTTTCAAATGCCTTTTCTTTTTTTTTTGTACTCTTCTTCATTTCCGACGCTAGGAGACCATTAGGTGCATCTTAGATGGCCGTTTGAAAGCTTTTAAGACCTCAGTCGCTACTCACCACTGTAGGATGAGGAACAAGGCTTTTATGTGCACATAGGAGATACATAACAGATGCTAATACCCACCAGTTTGCCCACAATACTGCATTACCATTAACACCAAACACCAGACTACAGATAAACACATAAATACATTATGCGCTTTTAAAGTGGCTCTTTCCTATGATGACCCTATAGTTAAAAATTCCAAGGTGTATCTGAGATCTAGATTTCTAACTTTCAGGAAGGAGTTTCCATGAATATAATCCACAACTTGAAGAATTTCATATAGCTTATCTTATTCTTTCGTTCCTGTCTCTTCTATCATACACGTATGCTATCCTGAACTTTTGGAGGTAGCAGAGGGCAGTATTAGGAAGCCAGATGAACTTACCCCTATGGTAGATGCCATGTAGTCTGCACACATTTCTGCAAAGTCTCGTTCAAGAACTCCATAGTAGAGGCCATAGAAGAGGAGTGAAATGCCAAAGTCCATGGCATCTTCAGGTTTGATTCTGTAAGGGAGTAATATGGTCAGTAAAGCCTGCCCTAAGGCACAATTGCTTTGGATCACTACTCTGAGAAACACAAGACAGGGTCTAAAGCTGGAAGACTCAGGGCCAGAGCAAGGGTTGATAAACTATAGCCAAATCTGACCTGCTGCCTGTCTTTACATGGCCTGTGGGCACTGCTTAAGCGAGCCAGCACTATGAGACCAAGCTGGGACATCTGCTTCTGTCCCTGTTCCCAAGTTGGTTACCTGTGCCTGAGTCCCTGCTAGTGGCTGTGCCTCACACCTCACAGGTGCCCAGGGCTTGTACCAGCGGCCACCTGCATGCTAGGGACGCCACTCTTGACAACTGGTAGGCATCCATCAATGGAATTAAAGTCTGGAAGTTGGCAACTCACTGAGGTGCCTTGCCTCCAGCCAGCTGTCCAAATTGAAATGGACATACCCCAGGAGAGAAGGGTATGCTAGGATCTGGGTATCCGGAGCAGAGAATGAAAATGATAGACAGAGGCCATACATCCTTCCTTGTGAGAATGTTCAGCTGATGTCAATTGAGCATAAAGCATGCCCACCAATGGGATAGCCTGCTCTGGGCAAACAGGATGGGTAGAGCAGGACTGTCCACTCTTGTTACATATAAAAAAAGCAAACCAGTTGCCATTGAGTCATTTCTGATGCTAACAGCCTCATGCATTTCAGAAAGAACTGCACTCCAGAGGGTTTTCAATGGCTGTGATCTTTCAGAAGTAGACCACCAGGCCACCTTTCTTCCAGCAGGCACTGGATGGACTCGAAGTGTCAACTTTCTGGTCAGTAGCCAAGTACTTAACCATTTGCACCACCCAGGGACCCCCTCTTGTTATTTAAGTACCTACATAATATCCTAGATTTTTTATCTTTTGGCCCATGAAGCCTGAATATTGACTATTTAGTCCCTTATGGAAAAAATTTCCAAGCACAAGTTTAGAAAGTAAGAAAGATTAGTAAATATTTACATAGCAGTTACCATGAAATTTTAAGTTTCATCTGTACATGTTTTTAAATTTTGTTCCAAGTCTATTTATTAAGACTGATAAAGATATTGCCTGTAATAATAAGAGGCTTCTTTTAATAATTTCAAAGACCAGTAATTTGCAACTTTGAGCCTGATTGCTACAGAAAACTGTCTATTAAAATATTTGTGCAAAGAACTGTATCTGTTCACTTAAAGTTGTAAAGTGTATTTATCATATTGCTGCTGTTGTTGTGAGATGCCATCAGGTTGATTTTTGACTCACAGTTACCCCATGTGACAGACCAGAACTGCCCTGTAGGGTTTCCTAGGCTGTAATCTTTAAGGGAGCAGATTGCCAGGTCTTTCCCCTGCAGAGCCAACTGGGTGGGTAGGAACCACCAACCTTTTAGTCTGCAGCTGAGCGCTGAATGGTTTTGCCATCAGGGCTCATCTATTTATCATAGAAAGTTGAATTTGCTCATCAACATTGTAGTATTTACCCCAATGACTAGACATTATTGCTCTTATTCCCATTAACTTAATCAATGGCATAAAAATGATAGAAGATTCTTAATTTCTCCTTCCTTAAATAGTTGAGGCAAGTAAAAGAAATGGTAATTATGGGGGAAAAAATGCTTAAAACATAATGTAGAATCCTGAATTTTAAATACCTTGGTTTTCTTTGATGACATGTGTTAGACTCTACACTGATGAATTTCTCTAAACCTTTCTGGAATCTGTTTTATCTTTCAGCCTGTACCACTCCTGGAAGAAAGAATTCCATGGATTCTTTACATCACTATGTAAAGTAGGACTTATTTTCACTTGTCTGAAAGTGAATTTTCAAAGACACTTCTGCCTATAGTGTCTTAGGTTGGAGGAAGAGGCCAATGATCATCCTACCCACGAACTGTAGCTTGTATCTTAAATCCCTTTAGCTTCAGTGCACTGGCCCAGGAGGTAGATTCCTCATCATCCATAGTCCACAGCCACCATGATCTATGCCAGGAAACTACACTTCACTCTCTTCTGTCTTGCCTACTTACTGTACCCTCTGGTCTCACAGCCCAGGAGCTTCTGCCTCAATTGGGGTTGCACAATATAGGTTGTACAAATCTGGGACCAGTATAAATCTTTTGGAAAGCTTCATGACAATATGAAGCAACAGCCAAAATCCTACTCCTGGGACCGTACCCTTAGGAAGAAACACAGTAGCTTTATCTGTGATAGTACAAAATTAAAAACAATCTACACATCCAACATTGAAGCAGGATTTAAATGTCCACAGGTTAACTTTTTAGAACTGTTTCCTTAGAAACCTGATAAAAGTGGAATTCCAAGCGTGATACAAGGCAGCAATAAGTACATGTTAGATACGATCTGTAATTAGTATATTGCATCTGGACCGGGATATTTGTAAATGATCTAGAAATACCTGGTGGGGAATAGTTTTAGGCTTCCCTAAATGGGGCGCATTCTTAAAACTGGATGTTTCTCTTGGGGGACATGGGACTTCTAAGTCAGGGTGGCTGCCCATATTCCTGACACCTCAGCTGTCATGCTGTTTAACAGCCCTGAGACTGCTGAGAAGGCTCACGCGGACACTGCCCTGCTTTTGTTTCTTGTCTTCTATCTTTCTAAGTGGATCTGTTGCCAGGTGTGGCCACTGTGGTCACCAGAGTTGGCTGTCTAACCCAGGGGTTGGAAATTTTTTTCTGTAAGGGTCAAATAGTAAATATTTTAGGTTTTGTAGTCTATACAGTTTCTGTCACAGCTATTTAACTCTGCTGTTTTGTTGCAAAAATAGTCATAGATGATACATAAATGAATAAGGATGGCTCTGTTCCAGTAAATTAAAAAAAAACCCAAAAAAACAGGTGGTAGAACGGATATGGCCTGTGGGTATAGTTTGCCAACCTCTGATCTAGTTGAACCCAATGCCCCTCAGGCAAAGTGGAAGTTGCAACAAATAGTACCCACATGGCCAAGGAAAATAGCTGTTAGGGTGATGGAGTTAAGGTACACTTCACTAGTTCTTCCTCCCTTTACCAGCGAAAATAAAAGCAAAAGGTACTCACTTGAATAATAAGTTAAGACCAAAGAGAGTAAACATGACAGCCATGTAGCCAACGATACCAGTGGCATAGCTGATTTTATAGATCAGCAGGAACCACTTATAAACCAACCTGGAAGAAGGAAAACAAGTTAGTACAACTGACACAGTTGGTGTGGCCTCAGGGGCCCCTGGACCATCAGAATCCCTTATTCTCACATCAGATGGGGACATCAGCCTTTCTGCTCAGATTCTAATGAACAACTTCAGTTACTATCCAAAACTGTTCACTCCTTTAATTGCAGAAACATCTCCATATACCAGGGAGCTAATGCTTTTTATTTTCCTAGTCTTGGACCAAAACAAAAAAAGAAATCCTCAAAAGGAGGCTTCAGCACAGAAGACCTCAGGCAACCCTGTCATCTCAGTATGCAGGTCAAAATCAGGTTACGTGGAAAAGGGAGTGATAACTAATACCTATAGGTATGCTCAGAAGGGAACAGGTGAGGAGGACCAGTTGTTCTTGTCAGCAAAGAGAATTCAGGGAAGAAATAGGGTAGAATCAGCTACAGGCTTTTATACCTGGGTCTGGTTAGTCTGACTAGAGCTTTGCTCCTATTTAGGCCAATAATGAAAGGAATGATTGCTAACAGATTTGCTTCTGAAATGTCCCCCCGCCCAAGGAAAAGGAATAAGGAGAGAGGCACTCCAGAAATGTTTTTTGAGTTGAATTGAATGTGTGCATGTGGTGGCATTTAGGAGGAAGATGGGGAAAATGCACTGCTCAATCCTCCTGAAGGAGGAACAATGCTCCCTAGAATCCAATGAAGAGCAATGTGGAATCTAGTTGGTTAGCCCCCAGTAAGGTTCAGAGAGGAAAGATGGTTCTCTGAATGCATGAGAGAGACTTTTAAATACTATGGGGGTAGGTCCCTGATATCAGGATCCAGTATCCTATCTGTGATGAGAACTAATGAGCAATTTAGCCATTTGCTTAAATAAACAAACACAAGCCTACCTGGTCCCTGAAGAGTCAACCAGGTTACTGCCAACCCTGCCGGGCCCTAGGGAAGAAGTTCAAGGTGCCTGCATGTACCTCCCTGCTGTGGCTAAGCATGGGGTGATGGCTTCAGAGGCTAAGGAAAGGCTCCAAACAACCCATAGTGCCTGCTCTCAAGAACCACACACAACTTCATTACCCAGAGTTTGCACTGATCATATGAGAATAAGACACAGCAGAAAGGATGTGGAATGTTAGGTCAGGCAACTCAAAGCAGGTTAAGTGTGGTCAGTTTTATTAGCTGGGTAATCCTAGGTATGTCACATCACTTTTTTGAGACAAATTTATTTGTAAAACAGAAAAAAAACATGCACCCTTTCTCACCAGATTGTATAGAGTCTTGTTGCTTGATACATAATACATGCTTGATAAATGCTAATAGATTAATGAGAATGTTTATGAAAATGCTTTGCAACTGTAAAACACCATCATGTGTTAGCTGTTATGATCAAAACATTACAGACACACTTTTAGCCATGTAGGCTAGGGTGGCTAGAAGTTGCCTGTTGGTGACTCTTAACATGTTTTATTGCACTTTTTCTTCATCCTTTATGAGACAGCAATTATTATCCCATTTTGGGGGATGAAAAATTTGGGGTTCAGAAAGATAAAGTCATATATGTTATACAGCAAAAAAGTAGCAGAGCTGGGAGTTTTAAATCCACATACATCTGGCTCCAGAACCTGAACTTTCTATTATGGTCTTTAAAGTAAACTACTGCAGGCAGAGAGGAACATCTAGATTACCAATTCCACCTGGAAGATAAACTATACTTTGTACAAAGAAACTCAGAAGGCCAGAGAAAGACTTGCAATAAAGCAACGCCTAAGAGCCATGAAAAGAAGAGCAGTTTGCAATAGGGGGGATTCTGAATCAAGTGGTCACAACTTTGAGACTGGCTAGTTCCTCTGTTGGACTCTTCTAGATCTGTGCACACCTCTCTCATAACACTTACCAACTGCACTGTAACAGGTGCTTTCTCATCCATTTCCTCCATTAAACCAAGGATTTGAGGGCAGGGATCATGTCTTATCCAGCTCTGCATCCCCAGCATTCAGCATAGGGCCTGGCACATAGCAGGTGCTTGTTGAATGAATGAATTAGAAAGTATTTCTCTTTTTCTGTCAAATACAGATAGTAAATGACCTCACAAGCTAGTTGGGAGGATCAAACAAGAGTGCATTTGGATAAAATATAAAGAATTATCAAGCAGGAGCTGCTTTATAACCCATGAAAGCAGCATTATTTGTTGGAAAACCGCAAACTTGCTGGGATTCAGCCACTCAACAAAAATTAATAAAACAGGCCTACTATGTGCCAGTCCTCATACCAGGGCCAGGATATACCGTGACAAACAAAATAGATGTGGCACCCAACTTCTTAGTTATAGTTTAGTGGGAGAGACAGACACTCAAAATAATACTTAGCTATAAATTGTGGTAAGTTATAAATTGTGAAGGAAAACTATGTTTGTTATGAGAGAATATAGCAGACAATCTAATTTAGAGATCAGAGAAGCGTTCACAGAAGAAAGTAACATTTAAAATGAGACCACAATGATCACCAGGATTTACTTATTTATTTTGTTTGCTTTGAATACAAACAAATTTTTATATAAAACATAAATTACACAGTGGGAAAAGATGTGGGGGTTTTTATCTGTGAATAGAAGGGTAAGTCTCCCAATCAGCTTGTTATGGAGGGGCGCCAGGTCAAATAATCTTGAAACAAAAACCGCAATATTTTAAAGTCTAAATCACCCTCTTCCCATGCATACCAACCCTTTAGTTTCAGGAAACCAGGGCTCTTCTCCATTACTTAACCACCTCTCACCTTGGGGTTGTCTGTACTAGAGGTTTTCGGGTGGCTCGGAAGGTGACAAAGGCAGTGATGGCAGAGAACAAGATCCAGATCACTAGGAACCTCCACCAGTGCAGCTTTACTGTGAAATAGAGGGGGACAACCCACATCTGAAAGAGGGTCACCATCTGAAATACAAACACAAGCACTTCAGCTCTAGCCAGCTTCCTCTGCTGCTCTACCTCCAAGTCCACAATACATCTTGTGTTTTCCCTTTTAGCCTAATCCTCTCCTACATTCCTCATCTTGGATAAAGGCATCTCCACTCAGTGATCAAAGCTAGAAACCTACGCTCAAATTCAACCATCTCTTGGCTATATTCTTTCCATCTGAGCCCTCATTACCTCTTGCCTGGCTCACAACAGCAACTGTTATGTCTCTCTGCATTCAGTGTCACCTCTTCCAATCCATCCTTCCCAGAAGCGCTAGAGTAGTATCTCTAATACAGCATCTTGGACCTGCCATTCCCCTGCTTAAATCCTCTAATGTGACCTTGCATATAGGATAAGGTCCAAGATTCCTAGCCAGGCAGTCAAATCTTTTATAACATGGCCTCAACCTACCACTCCAAGGGCCATCACCTACAACTCCCAATGTTTTCGGTCAAGTCATCCCCCTCAGGTTAAAACATCCTTCTCACCTGCCTGATAGTCTCACATCCAAGATACATGGAGCCTTCAGTCTCATTTCTAGACAGAATTAGTCCTAGTGCTCCAAAAGCACTTTCTTTTCTACCATCATTACAGAACATATCTAGGGTATGAGGCTGGATTCGAATGCATTCTCTACCTGAATATAAGCTCTTTAAGGGCAGTGACACTGTATTAATGTTTCCTCTGTGTCAGTTAACTGTCTAGCCCATGATATATACTCAGTAAGTCTGGGTGTATGAATGAGAGGAAAGTAGGACTAGAACCCTAAGAGGGAGGCACAGTGCTGTTTCAAAGGCACCTATTTTATTTTTCCCTCCTTCAGATGTTTACCCAAGACCTGAGAGCCAAGGGGTTTCCAATGCATAAAATAATTCTGAGACAGAAATCTGGAACAATTGCTAGTCTTCTGTGAAAGCAAGGTGGTTGGAGGAGGGAGTCAGGAGGCATCAGGGAGCAGAAGACTAGTGATTACTCCAAATCTCTGTCTCAGAGTCAGAATTGCTTTATGCATTTGAAACACAAACTCAGTGCTCTATAAGCAATAACTGCCCTTTCCCCCTCCCTCTTGTCTCTGGTAACCACTAATAAACTTCGGTCTCCATATATTCACCTGTTCTTATATTTTTATGTAAGTTGTTGTTGTTGTTAAGTGCCGTCGAGTCATTCCCGACTCATAGCGACCCCATGCACAGCAGAACGAAACACTGCCCGATCCCGTGCCAGCCCCACAATCCCTGCTATAATTGAGCCCATCATTGCAGCCTCCGTGTCAATCCATCTCGTTGAAGGCCTCCCCCTCTTTCGTTGACCCTCCACCCTACCAAGCATGACATCCTTCTCCAGGGAATGGTCCCTTCTTACAACATGACCAAAATAGGTGAGACGAAGTCTGGCCATTCTTGCTTCCAAGGAGCATTCTGGCTGCACTTCCTCCAGGACAGATCTGTTAGTTCTTTTAGCAGTCCATGGTACTTTCAGCATTCTTTGCCAGCACCACAACTCAAAAGCATCAACTCTTCTTCGGTCTTCCTTATTCATTGTCCAGCTCTCACATGCATACGAGGCGATTGGAAATATCATGGCTTGTGTCAGGTGCACCTTAGTCCTCAAGGAGATATCCTTGCTCCTCAGCACTTGAAACAGTTCCTTCGCAGTTGACTTTCCCAATGCTACACATCGTCTAATGTCCTGACTGCTGCTTCCGTTGGCATCGATTGTAGAACCAAGCAATGTGAATTCTTTGACAAGCTCAATCTTCTCTCCATTTATTGTGATGCTGCTCATTGGTCCAGTTGTGAGGATTTTTGTGTTCTTTATATTGAGTCGTAATCCATACTGCAGACTGTATTCTTCAACCTTCATCAGTAGGTGCCTTAAGTCATCTTTACTTTCAGCAAGCAAAGCTGTATCATCTGCATATCTCAGGTTGTTAATGATTCTTCCTCCAATCCAGATACCACGTTTTTCTTCATATAGTCCAGCTTCTGGGATTATTTGCTCAGCATATAGATTGAATAAGTGTGGAGAAAGAATACAACCCTGACGCACTCCCTTCTTGATTTTAAACCATGTAGTGTCCCCTTGTTCTGTTCGAACGACAGCCTCCTGGTCAAGGTACAGATTCCTCATGAGTACAATCAAGTGCTTGGGAATTCCCATTCTTCTCAATGTTATCCATAATTTGTCATGATCCACACAATCAAATGCCTTTGCATAGTCAATAAAACACAAGTAAACATCTTTCTGGTATTCTTTGCCTTGAGCCAAGATCCATCTGACAACAGCTATGATATCCCTTGTTTCACGTCCTCTTCTGAATCCGGCTTGAACCTCTGGAAGTTCTTTGTCAATATACTGCTGCATTTATGTAAGTAAGGTCACACAATATTTGTTCTTTTGTGATTCACTTATTTCACTTGGTACAATGTCTTCAAGCTCCAACCATGTTAGAATGTATCAAGACCTCATCTTTCTTTCTGGCTGAGTAGAAAGGTAAGGAGCTCTGGTGACATAGCGCCTATGGCATTTGACTGCTAACCAGAAGGCTGGAGGTTCAAATCCACCAGCCACTCCTCGGAAGGAAGGTTGGGCAATCTATTTCTGTAGTGATACCACCTCGGAAACCCAAGGAGGGGTTACTATGAGTCGGCTCCAACTCAATGGCAGTGAGTTTGGGTTTTTTTTTTTTTTCTTTCCAGCTTGGCAATAAATGGCTGAACGTATAATTCTCAGGACAATGGCAGGGACTGTGGTGCCATCTGGTGGCAAAACTTATATAGACACATTTGCACATGTGCCTGATGCTGTGGAAAGAAGCATTAGCCCTGCTCTCTATTCCAGGACTTGGCATGATGAAACATCAACACATTTATGAGCTATAGATATCAGATAGCCATGTAAAGCATGAAGTGCCACCATGGGAGTTCACAGGAGAGAGGTAACAGTATGGGTGGGAGCTGTCAGAGACTTCCTGGAAGAAATAGAGACTGGCTGGTTCTGAAGGAGGCTTGGATTTGGCCAGGTGGAGGGGGTGAAAGCCATTTATTCTTCTTTCCCTGAATCTACAAATATGAGGTTGAAGTGAAGACTAGCCTGAAAACTAACAGATTCATTCAGCAAACATTTATTGAGGGACTATCTCAGCTTTTCTACTGAACAGCTGAGATGATGATACTGCATATTAACAGTAAGAGCTAGCCTATATTTAAATAGGCTTCCTTTTTTTTAATTGTGATTTGGGTGAAAATTTACAGAGCAAATACACTTTCCATACAGCAGTTCACATACAACTTTGTCTCATGACATTGATTACAAATCACCATAATGCAACATCTCCCCTCCTACTTCCTCCTGAGAGTTACCTCTTTCCGTGTCCATCCCTCCTTGCACTCCTGCCCCCTGAGCTGTCTCCCTGTGCATAAGCAGCCCTTCTTTCTCCCATGCTTGTTCTCTCCAAGGAGTGTATCTACCTCAGGTAAATGTTCAACTTATATGCCTGTCTATTGTTTGGCTGGAAGCCACAGGCTTGGGTTCAATTCCAGACCTGAAGGGCAGCTAGGGGCCATAGTCTCAGTGGTTCTACCAGGCTCTATCAGACCAGCAAACCTGGTCCCCCCCGCCCCTTTTTTGTTCCCCAAATGATTCTGAGTTTTGTTCCACATCTATCCAGGATTTCCTACATAAATCCTCTTCCAAGTGGTTGACAGTAGTAAATGGGCACCATCTAGTTCTTCTGGTCTCATAGTCATATAGGCTGCAGATCGGATGGTATACCAGTCACTAGGACTAATTGTTTCCATGACTTTTTGGTTTTCTTCATTCTTCTTTGCTCTGGACGAGAAGAGACCCATCGTTGCATCTAGATGGCAGCTTGCAAGCTTTTAAGATCCCAGTCACTACTCACCACAGTAGGAGGTGGAACAATGTTTTGTGTAGTATGTTATGCCAATTGAGCTTGATGTCTAAATAGACTTCCTTTTTTAGTTGGGAAATCACTACCACTTGAAGGTGTGTTGACATAAATGGAATCAGCACCTAACAATTAGTATTTATAATCCATGCGAAGGTGGACTAGACAACCTTTAGATCCCTTTCACCTCAGAGGAGCTATAATTCAAGAGAACAGTCAGAAACGAGTTCTGATTACCTCCTTCTCTGGGCACAAACTGCCCTGCCGGTCTGCTGACGCTTGGCATTTTTGACTTTCAAGATTCTCATCTTAACACTTTAGTATCTCCCTATGTTGTGGGGCAGGGATCGCCCACCATCGCTAGCTGAAAAACAGTATTTTGGATGAAATGAAAACTACAAGTGCAGGTAGTGGAACAAAATAAGAGACTCACAACTAACAGACCAATCAGCACGAGAAAATGTTAATACGTAGGCAGAGGGAGGGGTCTGGGATGTGCTCTATGCTCTGGTCACTATTTTCATGAGTGATTTGGATGAAAATATAAAGAATTTGGTTACCAAACTGTGAATAGCAAAAAAATTCTAAGGGGAAAGGAGCAGCATGAGGCAGTGAACATCGACCATAGAAGCAGCAAGATCCCAAATGGATAAAACTTATTTCTAAGGTTCTTCTAACTCTAACATTCTATAAGCCAATAAACTGAAACGAAGAACCAAAACCACAGGATGAAATCTAGCTAACTAGCCAAGTACAGGATGGGGAAGGAATAGCTCATGTGAAACAGACTGACCATGAATGGCCAGGATCTACACCAACAGGTCTGGTGCCAAAAAAGTTAAGGCAAACTTCTACACAGAATATATGCAGGATGAAGGAGGCAGCAGTTCTAATGTTCTCTGCTCTGTCAAAGCATCAGTGAGGCCCAGATCTTGGAACCACACTGTAGAAAGAACACTGACAAACAAGCATGGCCATAGGATGCAGCCAGGATTACAAACGGTTTGGAAATCAAATCACATAAGAGATAGCTGAAAACACTGGGATAATCGGCCCTGAGAAGACT